CGCGTTTTTGCTCTTAAAAACACGAGATGCGCATGATATTTTGCAGATCCTCTGCACTGATGAGTTGAAGAGAAGACCGGGTCTCGAGCGCGACACGTTGAAAAAAACACGAGATGTGGCGAAACGGTCAAATATGATCATCTTGTGCATATTATTTACGTAGAAAAACTATTAAAAAGCTTACTGTAAACAGCGTCGTGACTCGTGTTATCATGTCATCTCTATAATAACTTTATGATTGGCCCAAAGCAGACTTCTAGACCTCGGCACCTTCTGACCTTGCACAATCACACCGCTAATCTTCATTCCGCATTCACACAGACCACATTGCCGGTCATTTTCTGGTATGTTACAACTTCCCTTACAAAAAAAAAATTCCCAGTATTTTTGAAAAGTTCCTGTTCAGACATGATCTTTTACTGGTTATTAACCAGTAAAGACTGTATGTGTGAAAGGGACTATTGTTAAACAAATAGTTAAGCACTAGATTTTGCCAGTTCCAATCTCGCCACCACAATGCTACGTTGTTCTGCATGATTTTCATTACAAGGTCTTCTGGGCAGTTTTTGTGTTTGCTAATGGCTGGTCACTAGTGATTTGAGTGGTTGCTAGGTGGTCGCTGACTGTCCCTATCTGAAAAGTCTCACAAAATAAATGAGACACACTTAACGACTAGCTGAAACATTCAAGAACTGAACTGAACACACTTGCAGACTGACAAACTGTCTCTGACTCGGCACGTTTGAGCATGATCAGTTGTAAGTATCAAATTACATTCATAATCGGCCTAACAGTCGTGAAGTGTGTCCCCGGCTTAAAGGGGTAGTTCACTTTGAAATTAATTTTTGATATGTTTTAGCTTACCTCAAGGGCATCCAAGATGTACACTACCGGTCAAAAGTTTTAGATCGGTAAGATTTTTTATGTTTTTAAAAGAAACAAGGCTGCAATTATTTGATAAAAAAAAATAAAATGTAATATTGTGAAATATTATTACAATTTAAAACAGCGGTTTTCTATGTGAATATAATAAGTGAAGTGTAATTTATTCCTGTGCTCAAAGCTGAATTTACAGCATCATTACTCCAGTCTTCAGTGTCACATGATCCTTCAGAAATTATTATAATATGATGCTCAAGAAACATTTATGATTATTATCCATGTTGAAAACAGTTTTTTACATTTTTATTTCAGGATTCTTTGATGAATAGAAAGTTCAAAAGAACAGAATTGATCTGAAATGGAAAGCTTTTGTAACATTAATCACTACCATTCAA